CCACCTGTTGGCAGCTCAGCTGCAGCTCAGCTCAGGCACAGCTCACTGGCCCATGTGGGAATCAAACCGGCGTCCCTGTTGCTCAGAGCTCACACTCTTGAGCAAGCTCTTAACCAACTGAGCCACTTGGCCAGCCCCCACTTTGCTCTTTTAACTAAGCTCATTTCAGTTTGGGGGCTCCCAGTAAAACTACAATTAACATTTTTGTTCATATATCTTCCCTTTCATTGGGATTATATAAAATAATCTTTAAATTACATAGTGATTGTATTCTCTGAGCACCTTCAGGATATAAAACATAATCTTGCTTTTCTTGTTTAATAAGTGTCTGTATTTGCTAGAGATTTATATGTAGGTAGTTATGGGTAAAACAATAGTATGTGATATCTGGGATTTGCTTCAAAATACTCTAGAAAAAAAATTGGGGATGGTGGGTGATAGCTGAAGCAAGGTTGGTGAATCATTGATGACTATTGGAGCTGATGATGGGGACAGGGGGATTTATTATATACTATTGTCTTTATGTTGCTGTTTGCTTCCCACTTGCCTCCTCTTCCTCTCTCTTCTGGATTTTCTATTGTTTTCCCCATATCTCTTCTAGATACTTGCTGCCTCCATGATTCCCAATTTTTTTTCTCAGGTTCAGTCACCACTGTTACCTGCTTCACAGTTTTCTTTTCCTTTATCAAAAGCTTCAAGTCCATCCATCTATCTACCCATTCAGTAATTCATTCACATAAAAAAAAAATCGAGCCTATGTATTGGGCAAGATATCAGATAAGGTTTAAAATTTAGTCATTTCCATTGTTTTAGATGTTATCAGACAGCTGTTAAGAGGAATGTAATCACAACTTATTTTGTAACATAAGATAAGAGAAAGATAGGCAGCTTAATTCTCTTGGGAAGAACTGTATTTTAGAAGGAGAGCCAAGTGCCCTCTGTGTGGTGGGCAGTGTGATAAAGCACAGGGCACAGCAGCCAGCAGAGCTGGGAAGAGAGGGTCTTCTAATATCTACCTCCTCCACACTGCCTTTTTGCCCAGTGGCTTTCAGCCCTTAGGAATTTCCAACTGGAAGCTATACTTTGAGGTTATATTTATTTAGTAAAATGAAACTTACGTATATTAAGAGCCTTGGAATTTTCATAACCTTTAATATAAAGCATTAAAAAGTCTCAAGTGCTCAAGGAAATTATTTTATATTAATGTTGAAAAATCAAATCAAATCAAATGGCTTAATTTTCTACTCATTTCACCAAATACCAGTAGATTATAAATGTTACGTGAGCTAAGTGAAATTGCAGGGTGATAATTCTGAGGTCTTTCTGATTTTGAAAGTCACAAGATTTAAAAAAAGAAAAAAAAATCAAGGTGGTCCCTGACTCCTGAACTTGGTACACCCGGAGGCGTGACTGTACAACCTTGCCAGTGCTGTGTGTCTTGTAGGGGGTAAGACCTTCTCAGAGCATCCACAGCTCCCTCCACATGCCTCTACCTTCACATTTTTTAGCTTGGATTATAATTGCATCTTTTCTTGTCAGTCTCCTTCACTAGTCTGTGAACTTCTGTGGGAGGGCAGGAATTCTGTATTTATTTATTTTTTTAAGATTTTATTGGGGAATTGGGGGAGGGGGACAGTGTTGGGGAATTGGGGAAGGGGACCAGCCAAGTTGTTGTTCTTCAGTCTTCATTGTGGAGGGCCCCAGTCACCATCTGGCTTCCCATCGGCAGCTTGTGGTCTCTAAGCTCAAGGCGCTGTGTTCAATCTTAGTTGTGGGTGGACGTAGCCACCTTCCCATGCAGGAGTTGAACCAGCAGCCTTGTTGTTAAGAGCACATGCTCTATGCACTGAGCCATCCAGGTGGCAGCTCAGCTCAAGGTGCCAAGTTCAGTCTTAGTTGCAGGCGAGCGTAGCCCACCATCGAACAGGGAATCTTGTTGTTATACCAGCTGAGCCATCCTGCCACCTGTTGACAGCTCAGCAACAGCTCAGCTCGGGTGCAGCGTCACTGACCCATGTGGGAATCGAACTGGCGGCCGCATTGCTCAGAGTCCGTGATCTTAAGCCAACTCTTAACGAACTGAGCCACTCGGCCAGCCCGGGATCCTGTATTTTTCAATGCCCAGAATGTAGTTGGGCCTCAATAAGTATCCGTTGAATGAAAGATTTTTTTTTTAAACTATTTTCTTTCTTTAAAAAAAAATCCCCATAACTGCTCCCTGATAGATTCTCCTCTTCTTTACATAGACCTCAAAATGGTCCCATTCTTCAACCTGACTCTGAAGACCTCCTGATAAGAAAGTAAATGCTTCAAGGAAAGTGCGTGTAGGAGGCTCAAAAACCCTAAATGATTCCTCCCAAAGGAATGCCTACTGCAGAGGGGCACCTGGATCCAAGTCATTCAGGGTATGCCTTTGCCATCAGGTTGCTACTTGTAAACTTAAACTGTTCAGTGCTTAGTTTTTTCAACCTAACTGATTCAGGATTTCGAAACATAAGCTTATAATTAAAAACCCACAATAATTGATCCAATTCAGAATTTACTGTGAGCAACAAGTTTATTATTAGGTTTGCAAGGTAACAAGATAGTGCATGGTAAGTGTTTGGGCCAACTTCCATAGAGTTCCTCCCCACTGGCTTCTGCCATGGTGGGTTGGTTTGTCTTTATGAAGCGTGGGGTGAGGCGGTGAAAAAGCAAAGCAAAATAAGGAACATGGAATGAATGCAGGCGCCCTTTGGAGCCTTGTTACATAGGCGAGTTGCAGTTCTCCTGATTTGTGGCAGTCATTTTATTAATGCTAATGTTATTAGAGGCCAGGATACCTTTTAGATAGATTATTGTTTCTAGAGGGAGAGAAGGGCTTCTTCCCAAGATCCAAGCATAATCCAGGTGAAACAGCGAGAGGATTGAGGAACAGGAGTACACAAGGGCGTAGGTCTCGTAGTCCGTGGCCAGGACCCAGTATGGAGACACACGCGGTGCTGAGAACCAGAAGAGGGCAGTATTAGGAGGAACCAGTGCAAGGGAAACCTTCTTCTCCAGTACCTGGAAGCCAGGCTCTGGTGTCCTGGTTCTTCTAGATAAGTGGTTCTTAATTCTGGCTTCATATGGGAATCGCATGGGAGCTTTGAAAAATACTAGCCATCCTCCACCCCTACTCCTGATATGGAGGCGGTTGGTACTTTTAAAAGCTCCCCAGTGATTCTAATGTGTAGCCAGAGTTCAAAGCTAACATTCTGGATCTTTCCTGGTAAGACCTGGTAGCCCATAGGAACTGAGGGGTTTGGTTGGAATCCCTAGACTGACAGGCTGCCTTAGCACTAGTGCAAATGGAGGCACCACTTAACTAAATGGTGTTAAGAATGTAAGGTCAGGGGCTTCAGGCTTTCTGAGTCCATACCACCCAGCTTTCTCTAGAACTTGACCAAGGGAGGAGACAGGAGCTAACGTTGGTTTGTTTGTTTGTTTTTCTTCTGGCCTGCCCTTCAGAAAATCCTTCCATTTCTAAGAATATAGTAAATTATGTGGTAACAGGTTATAGGCTCTTCCTTACAAATGGCTTATGATGATTCATTGACTGATAGCTGTATAGCATTGAAAGCTCACAATTAAAGGGGTCCTTAAGAGGATTTACCCTCTCCTTCTGAATCCAGAAACTTCCTGTATGAATTGGATCTCCACAGTCAATCTCCAAGCCAAGGAAAATTCATAGCACAGTTAAACAGAAGATGGTCCCACATGGGAGAAAGATGTGTGCGGACCCCGTAAGAACAATAGACTTGGACACATGTGTAGTCCTGGGTGATTTGCTTTCCTGGGTTTTCAGTACTCCCCCCACCGCCCCACCCTCCACCCCACTCAAAAATAATCCCAGCATTTGCCAAGTCAAACCAGAACTCAGCACTCACGAATGACATCATATATAGCTGTTACAATTCCACTGACTCTATTCCCTATGCTGTACTCCACATCCTGTTAATATATATATATATATATATATATATATATATATATATGGTTAGTGCTTGGCTAAGAGTCAAGGACCCAGCTGGTTATCAGGACCACACAAGAGGACTAATCCAGATGATCATCCACCAAGGTCCTTCCAACCTCTGACTTCCTATCTGTTTATAACTATGAAAACAGAAAGACACTTAGAGGATGTCTGGATTGGAGCTGGGACAAGGCTGTGGGGCCTAGACTAAGTATTGTTTATGACTTACTTTTTCTAGCACTGTTGGTGCCACCTGCCTGGCTCACTCATAAGATTATATATTCATCATATATCTGCTATCGTTGAATTTCGACAGCTTTGTGTGCTCCCAGCTGGACTGAGCGCTCTCCAGCCTGGAGTGATTTGGGAAAAATACGCCTTCTACCTCTTCCAACAGCAGCATCGTGCCCCACTTGCAAACACTCAGGCAGGCACATTCTGCTTTCCTCCCACAGAGTCTAGCACTCAAGCATAAATTTGCTCAGATATTTGCTCTTAGTAAAGAAAACTTCCATGTCTCTTTATTAGAAAACTTTGACAGTCTCCTATTGCTTATGGAAGGACTTCCAAACTCTCTAGGGTCTTATCTTCCGCTCCCTGGACCCTCCTTCGCTCTGGAGTTTTTCTCCAGACCTTTTCTCATGCCATTCCCTCCGCTTGGAACATCCTTGCCCATAATCTCCCATACACTCTGCAAAACCCAATGCAAACATCTGATCCCTTCAACCACAATAAATCTCTTGCTTCTCTGTTTCCCCAGCCAACAGCTCTGGCCTCTTCTTTAGCTCCTGCTGCAGGCTTCCTAAGAAGGTTGTGCACATACTATTTGATCTTCACTCCCATCCCATCACTCAATTGAGAGTTTGGAGACCTAGGTTTTAGTCCCAACTCTGCCTCTAATTAGTCCAGTGACCTTACCTATGTCACCTAGCTTTTCTTCACTTCCACTTTCTTATTTGTGAAAATAACAGACCTGTACAGAGCCTTTTACAGCTTACAGAGCATGTGTTATCTAGTTTGTCTTCACAACACTGGGGGTGTAGATGTGAAGTTGCCCAAGGTCATATGTGTGGGAGAAACTGTTTTCTCCTCATCCCAACATTCCTATCTTGGTCTAGAAAATAAGAACTTCCTCTTTGTTCCATTCTAAGCCCTAGATCAGTGTGTGTGTGTGTGTGGGGGGGGGTATGGAGGAGGGTACTGATTCCTCCTGCAGCTGGTGATTTCAGCGTCTACCTCACAGGTGGGGAGAGGCCCTCCCAAGCACTTTTGGTATTAGAAAGCCTCACAGTTCCGAGCTGAATTCTCCAGTGCATCTATATCAGCACTAAAACTAATATGTGGTGCTTTCGCTGTTGCCTGTGTCCATTCCTCAATTAGCCCAGAACTCAGGAGGCAAGCGCCTGTGATTAACTACTTCTCAGAGACCTCAACAATGTGGCTGGAAAGTGGCGGACCGAGCCAGGACTCAAACTCACCTTCACTCCTGCCACCTCTTGGCTCTCAGCTTTTATACGTGTTTGTTGTTCTGCTAATAACTACTAATTTTTCAGGCCTCAGTTTCCTCCAGGAAACAAGACTGGATCGGGTGTCCTATTTATTGCTCAAGCACTCTGTGCTCCAATCTGTGCTTCCTCTATTGAAACACTCACTGCAGTTTTATAGTAAATTGCCTGGGTATTTGTCAGTACCTGTGCTGGGAGGTAAGCTCCTCAGGGGCAAGGGCCAGCTCTACCTTCCTTGTCACTGCATCTCCAGCACCTACCTCAGTGCCTGGCATGTAGTAGATAATCAACAAATAATTATGCATTGAGTCATTATGGATGACACTCAGATGTGACACGAGTGCTCGAACCCAGGAGCATTTCAATTTACCTGACTTCTATCCCTGAAACCTCCAATCCAAGAGAAGTGGATACTTACATGATGCATACTTCACTCCCATCTTGGCGGGCTCTGCGAGGTTGGCCCGGATGATTTCACTTGTAGTTTGTCTCACCGATCCATCGGATCTGCAATGAGTTAAAAAACAATAAAATAACCTGAACACATTGAAAGCCAAAAACCCATACATATATGTACATACACATGTATATATACACATACACACAGAATAGTGCTTTGCCCATAGGAAATGCTTAATAAGGGTTAGTTACTATTGTTTATTGTTGCTCTGATCTTTGTTGATGGAGGGTGAGTAGGAGTTTTCCTGAGGCTTTTTAAAGTTTGTGTTTGCTTTTCAAAGTGTGAATTTGTGTAGGGAGCCAGAGGTCTGCAGTAAGGGTTAAGCCTGAAAGCTGGCAGGCTGACAGGCTCTCAGACCCAGGTGAGCAGCGTGGGAAGGTTGGCCGCTGAGGAGAAAAGAGCCAATGGGCCTTGAAAGAGTGGAATGCCATCCTATTAACAGTTTCTGCTTGCTGTGTTTTGCTTTACTCTGGGAAGATTGCTTCCTCACACCCTATGGAAAGCCCCGGGGCAGGTGTTCCCTGGGAGGAGGGGACTATTCCCTCAAGTTCCCAAAACCTTCCGACCTAAGGAAAGCTACTTTTGCTATAAAAGCTGTGTACAAACAATAAACACTGCCACTCTCTGCCACCAGCACTGAGTGGACTCCTGCCCCCAGCTTTCGTCTCTAGTCTCTTCGTTTTTAGTCTCCCACCCAATCCTCTCAGGTACCCTTTCGGTGCACTCCTGGCTGACGAGCCAGGAGCGTTCGGTTGAGCGAGCTGGTCTCGTTCAAATTTGGGGATCAAATATCAATCGGTGAGAAGCCTTCAGTAACAGAAAAGTACACTTCCATGGAACATCCTATTCACATAACCTGGAGTGTGACTACATATGTATTTGAACCTGACTTAACAAGAAAAGAAATTTTCTAATAGTTAAAGCTGTCTAGAGATAGAATGAACTGTCATGGAAGGTGATGAGCTCCCAGTTGCTGGAAGCTTCAAGGACAGCTGGACACTCTCTGTCAGTAGACGATAGAGAAGGGCTTCTCTCTTGATTTGCAGGTCAGACAAAATGGTTCCTGACGTCCTTTGCTATCAGAGTATCTACTTTGCAGTCAGAGCAGGAACCCAGTGGTTTGGGTTACTGTTGAGTTCCTAGTGCCTCTCACAGGGTCCAGTACACAGTAGGTGGTCAGCAAGTGGGCATGGAAATGAGCGAGTGACTCCTAGTTCCCAATGTCCTGCCTGCCAAAAGCTTTCATCTCAGGACCTGTTATGAGCAGGATGTCCAGACCCAGCAATGATGGTCTCCTCCCTGACCTAGACAGCAAGGACACCCAGTCACACTAGGACAGCTCTGTGCAGGGCTGGCTCCAGGATGTGTGAAGCCTTTGAAACCACAGCCACTCACTTCTGCAACTGGTTTATTGCTTTGATGTTTCCGTTTTCCATTGCTGTGTAGTTGACTTGGACGCAGTTTCCCTTCTCAAAGGGCGCTGGAATCTTCTCAATTTCATACCATATTCCAAGAAACTGCAGAGACAACAAGCAGAACAAAACCCTGTGGCTCTCTGGGGACCTGCAAACTCTTCTCCATTGTTGTCTTTCATACCAGAGCCCTTTCCTGGGGGAAACCAGGCAAAATGAGCTGCGTTGTTCTCAGCCGCAACTGAGCACGATATTGATTCAAATGAGAATAAGTGAATCGGATGTGTGGGCACCGGTTGAAAGCCACATTCTATTCCTAAAGTGCTCTTTACTTAGATATGCTGTCAGTGTCCCCTTCAGCCAAAATCTGTGAGAAATTCTAAACTCTGTCAAAGAAAGGGATTAGCCTAGGTGATCTAAGGTGCCATCTCAAACATTTCATGATTCTACAGGGCATCTTTGAATTGTGTGCAAAGTCAGATATGTTTACTTTGGGGAGCTGGGACTCCAGAGTTGGTTGAATTCTCTTCACATTACCACACGCAGGGAGCTGGGCACAAAGGCTCCTGGCACATGATCAGAATTTAGAATACCTGTGTCACTCTTCCAATGGGGGCTGGCCCTCAGTTCATAACTTTGGTGTACAGAGTCAACTTTAAAGGAAGTGTGCCACTCACTGTGTGGGTGAGCACAGGTACCTCCTGCTTCCATACATGGCTGTGCATAGAGACTGTACCAATTTACGATACAACCTTCATGAGAGCAATCTGGCAATATCTAGCAAAACGAAAAATACATACACTCTTTGGCCCAGAAAATTTCACTTCTGGGAATGTGTCCTCCTGATAGTAAGAAATAATGTATGTATAAGGTTATTTGTTGCAGTACTACTTATAATAATAAAGGATAGGACAGAGCTTCAGGGAGCATTCGTACAGGCCTGGGTAAATAAATGATGGCACATCATGTTATACAGCCTCTTTTAAAAGAGCAACGTGCAATTATTACCAAGATACCTTTACTGAAAAAAGTCAGGTGCAAATAATGTACATATTAAGCTACCTTTATGTAAAAATTAGATAAAAGAGTATTAATTTTCTATTCATGCTATAACAAATTATTACAAGCTTAAGGCAACACAAATTTACTTTGTTATAGTGCCACAGGTTAGAAGTCTGACATGGGTTTCACTAAGCTAAAATCAAGATGTTGGCAGGACTGTGATCCTTTCCGGAGGCTGTAGAGGAGAATCTGTTTCTTGCTTTTTCCAGGTTCTAAAGTCTCAGTTTCTCTATCTATATAAGAAGAATGCAATGTTTAAAAAGAATCCTGGGAAGGATGCAATATAACTATCTCTATTTGCAGATGACATGATTTTGTACACAGAAAATCCTAAGGCAAACATACATGTACACGAAAAAACTATTAGAACTAATAAATGAATTCATCAAGGTTAAAAAATACAAGATCAATATATAGAAATCAAATATATTGGGCCGGCCGAGTGTCACATTGGTTAAGAGCTGGCTTGGGACGCCAGAGGGCCCTGGTTCGGATCCCACATATGAGGGCCAGTGACGCTGCCCTCCACAGCTAAGATGCTGAA